GAATGTCTTGAAACGATTCTGCATTACACGACACCTACTCATAAGATTTACTCACATTTCATTATGCCCCAACGTCACCATAGACCCATTCACTGTTGTAACCTGACTGCAGCAGGACCTGTACGACAGTACATGACTGTACGAGTCATAGCCAGGACACTACATGTACAGTATTTGCTGCTTTGGCTGAAGTATTGGTTGACACTACAGTAAATTAGCACATATGTGATCGCGTACAGTACATTTCTCTCTAGGACTCGCATGCGTAGTTGGTAGTTGGTCCTCCCCCATTTACGACGACGAAAACTAAACGTACTAGTACTGTACTCCAATAACTACTTGTCGCAGGGCTTTCAATATTGTGGCCATTGAAGGCATGCTGTGGTACTGGTGTTGGAGTCGGCACATCCTGCGTTATCTAAAGTACATGTTGTTTGACTGTGAATGCAACACGAGGACTGTGGTACTTACTGTACATGTACCGTATGAGTAATAGGTAGGACACTACATGTACAGTAGTGCTGCATTGGCTGATACTAGTATTAGTACAGTACATTGGTTGGTACTATAGTACTAGATGAACAAATATGTAATTAAATGATTTTACTTGGATAAGTAATGTATACCTTCTGCGGTGCAGTGGTTAAGGCACCCACTTGCGAGACTGGTGTTCCGGGTTCGAGTCCCAGAAATAGCAACCTTTTTGTAAAGCATATTCGTAATACTAGCAGAAGTTTTAGACAACTCATTGGACGAATTTGCACTAATGGAATAGCTTACAGTTCGACTTGTGTACATTTGATTGGTTGTATTGTTCATGGATGAAACTCCTGCGTACGATTCAATAAAGAGATGTAACGGACCATGAAACTACTAAATCATACTTCGAAGTAGCATTTTTTATCATGTGGATCTTTCTTGCTACCATGGATTCTGCGCGCGTGGATGAGTTTAGGGCCACCCTACCCGAGTATGGCATTACACACAAGAACGTCATCAAGTGCAACATGGATCACGATGGTCCGGATCTGTCGCTAGCCAAACCCCATGCCATGACAGTGCAGTACACGCGTTGTGTGAGTCCACTGTGCCATCCAGCTGGTGGAGACCAAGTACAGCCACTACGATGCCCAGGTTCGTCTCGAATTTCAACGTGTACTTTAACTCATACCACCACGGTGTAGGTTCGTATCGAATTTCAACCTGCACTTTAACTCAGATTGCCACGGTGCACCGAGACGGTCATCATGTGGGTGAATTTGAACAGAATGATGGTAATGTAGTACCCCGAAACCCAAAGGTATCACGTTTATATAGAAATGCATGTGTGCATGAGTGACGTTGAATTAGGTCACTCTTGAAATGAAAAATGCGCTGGCTACATGGATTGATGACGACCCCAAGCACAACCCCAAGGCGTTGTTCACGATGCTCAAGGCGTCCATTGGTCAAGAAAGATTCGGTGGCATGCCATGTCCCACTTTGAAGCAAGTGCAGCATGCAGTGCACTACATGCGGTCCAAAGATATTTTGCAGAAGAGCACCGTTCCTGCTGCGATTGAAGAACTCATGAAGTGGCGACTCACCGACAACGTCGAAGACCAGGTGGCGCACAAACCATTTGTGTTTGGTGTCGAGGAGGAAGCTGGTCGCTTCACGCTTGGCGACGAATTTCATTGGTTAAACTTCGTACGTCTCATGAAGTTGTCGTAGGATTGTCAACAGTGGAACTCCTTCGAAAGTACCACGCTGTGTTCACAGCCAACCCAATGAAGACCGTCATATGTCACATGGACACGACATTTTCGACGAACGTGCTGGGCTACCCCATGTTTGTATTTGGATACTCCGACATGGCGGGATCATTTCACCTTCTGTGCGTATGCATCACGTCGCAGCGGACCCACGCCGACGTCGCGTGGCTACTGCGGTCACTCAAGGAGAAGTTCACAAGTCTCCTGAATTATGCATGGGCGCCGACAAGACTTATGGGTGATGCAGACAAGGCACAATTCCTAGGAATGACCAACGCACTTCAACCTGAGCTGCCTCTTCTCGAGTACCTTATGTGTTTTTTTCACGTCCTCAAAAATGTAAGTAATCTTATATCATCATATTGTCCTCATGTTTTGTTCTAGTGCTACGACAAACGCCAAGGCATGACAAGCGAGGAGTGGACAAGTGTCACCTTTGACATTTACCTGTTGCACATGTCCACAAGTCAAGCCGATTTAATCAACAACATGGACACTACGCATGCAAACTGGGAAGGCAGCCGCACCCT